CATAAAGTATTTGATTTCTTTACTATTACTGATATGTTGTGTTTATTTTCATAGTCAGTAGTCAGTTCAGTAAAATCTCTTATTTAGTGTGTCTATTCCGTATTGCGTTTGAAAAGATACATACATTTTCCACCCTTTTCCAGTTCGGCAAGTCTTTTGCGTATTCGAAACGCAGCGCGAATCTTTTCTGGGCGGGTGAATCCAAAAACTCAACGTTTTGAATTAATCGATTCGTTGAGGGTTATGCGCCAGAGGTTGTTCTCTTTCTCTTTCGAACTTTCCTGTTAGTCTCATCTTTAGTCGCAAAGCAATTTTTTGTTGTATGTAAAAGTATAGTAACTCATAGCATCATACTGGATTTCTGTAGTTGCCGTAGAGTAAGTTCTCGTTTGTTTACTTTTTTACTGTTGTTATTGGTGTAGTATATCAGACTATTTTGTCTGCTTCTCGCATGAACTCTGAACCGTTATCTTGTTATTGGATCAATCCATTTTTAAATCATCAAAAAGGGTGCCTGCAGTGGCCGCAGATTCTCATTTTTCGGTTTTTCACTCTTGTGGGAGAACTATTATCGGCCCTTTCTTTTGTAAGTGTTTGATTCGACTCAATACGAAGTCAGGATCTTAAAAAAGGCTGCGTTTTAGGCCAATAAATCGCGTCTCCGGATTTAAATCAGTCGCTTTAGATTTGCTGCATTGCACATAAATTATCTCGTCTTCTTTCGTAATCTCCTTTCTTACAACCTCAGCGCTTCAAATCTTTTCAGAAGAATGCCGGTTCCTCCGCAAGTCAAAAAAATGCTCGATGATGTCGATAAGCAGCTCCACACGGAGAGTCCCATCAACAACGTCCTTGCGACTGTCGAACAAAAATCTGGTGTAAAAAGACTTCACATAGTCCTTGGTGCGTACAAAGGATTACAAATTGGCACCATTTTTATAAAAAGTCTGTGGTTCCAGGTGTTGCTGCATTGCAAGGTTTATATCTGATCTTCGGACATTTTGCTGAACTTGTTTGCAACTTTATGGGCCTCATTTATCCTGCATACGTGAGGTTAGTGATTCAAATTTACGAGGAATGGATTTTATTTTATTTTGATTTCAGCATAAAAGCAATCGAAACTGCGACCAAAGAGGATGACACTCAGTGGCTTACGTATTGGTTAGTCTCTCTTTATCTTAGAGAAGGAATACTTTT